GGAAGTAGAATGCGTGCCGCATCCCAAAAAGGGATTGATCAACGGCAAATGCTTTATCCTTTTTTGTCCTTTACCATCTCAGGCAGACCAATCGTTTTCCTCCTGGGATTGAGGCCAAAGAGGTTTGGGGAGATGAAAACGCTTATAGCGAGGTTTCTTGAGCCGCAACCAAGATATTATGAACGTTTTACTCGGCTAACGTTTCGGCCGTATCGCCTTCGTCGGAGCCTTAAGAAACGACCGGACTTAGTGTAGACCACCGCCAATCTCAAAACCCGCTGAAAGTGACTCTCGCAATGCCAAGATTGACCGAGAGTCGAACATGGACACTGCTGAAAACGCTTAGTTTGACAAAAGCATGCTCCTGTGCAGGCCAAATGGGGATTCAATCCTTCTGCGATTCGACATGGAATTCAAATGCGCGGCGCATCCCGGTGTTTATACTGTTGCATCTAAAAACGTTCTAATAGGGAAAACCAGTTATATAATTCGTTTATTGTTTTAATCTCTGTGAAAATGTATAAAAAACAAAATCGAGTACATTTTGGATGTCTTTTTTTATTAATATTTCGCGATCTAGAATATCTGGCCTGAGATTTGGCAGTGATTGTCAATGGAACATGAATGAGAGAATTACAAGTGGAAGATCACTATATCTATGTAAACTATATATGTCTGAAAACACACATTCGTACGTATAGAACATCAAGTATCGATTACTATGTGACAAGAAAATATCGATTTTTGGCAAGCGTCGAGGAGCAAATGCGCGCGTACCCGAAATACGAAACATTTCCGCGATGAATATGTTTGGGCTTGATGTAAGAAGCGATAATGCCGTCTGACGAGAAGCTCTTGACTTGGGGTACTGTAGCAGAGATACGGTAGCATACGGTCAATGAGCAAGAGAACTTTCCGGACGGCGTTGCAACGAGGTCTATGGTTAACATGACGGACTTGAGAAGCCTATGGCAGAAGAGTAGCCTAGGCCCGTCCGTAGTAAGGCCAATAGGCGTACGGGTTGTAGCCCATCGTTGCTACTTGCTGATCCTTGCTCGGCTGTGCTTGTTGCTCCATGATCACTCGCTTAGCGTTCTTGTTAGCCTGAAATTGAATATTACAATTTTCCAACTTATTATAGAGACTTTGCTTCAAAAAATACTTGAAAGGTCAGTCATCAGGCACCGTGTTTAGGGGAGGGAGGGGAGTAACAAGAGGGATGAAACGTTGATCAGTCAACGCTTCTAAGGCCCTGAATAGGCTGCGGTGCGCCACCAATAAGTTCCACGAATCTGATTGGAAGTGGAGTGCATGGCTTACTCGAAGAATTAGTGCGAATCGTTATATCTATTCATATTTATATAGCGACGTCTGGAAAGTGAACTGGGGCGCTATCGCAATATACAGGAGCCTCCTTTGACTAATGCAGCCCCCAGGAGGCGTGAAAGAGCTCTGGTAAAATGAAAGTTCACGTACCTGGGCTTCCTTCCCAACTTAAGCTCTAGTCCGTTTTTAAACAAAAAGACAATTTTACCGGTTCGGATAAATATGCCTGAAATGCCCATACTTCAAACACCTGACGTGACTCCTGGACGTATGGGTGCTATCAGGTAGATACAAATAAGAAGCGGTTATCAGGCGTGGGCAGACACGCCGAGTCAAAAATTTGTACCCTTCCCACTATCAAGTTTCAAGAGAGCGATCAGCTAATGAACTATGTTTTCATCAGTCACCTAAGCACTTCAAACATTTCCATGTATGGCCAGAATGCGGTTCCACGGCGCATAGACGCTCCTCAGAACTCCTTACCTATCACTCGATGTCGCAAGAATCAGCAAAATTAACGAGTAAGTATTCGAATTTCCTCAGAGTGATTCCCAGGAACGTTCCTTCAGTCAAGTGTGTTTATGATTATTTTACTTGAGAATGTGAGCGAACATTCGAAAAACGCTTTTGCAAAAACTATTACAATCACCTGCTGAGGCCGGTGTCAGACTTAAAATCCTACTTCGACACTAGTCTGTGAATTTGCAAAGTCTGACACAGGCCTCCAGAAGAATTCCAGTTCTGATGAAACCAGACGGGACTCTATAAGGGTTAAGGACTTTTTAAGCCAACTTTGCATGGTCCATATAATCGACATAGCGGATATCGATTTTTCCCAAGGAAAGTAAATGATTGTTTCAGAACGAAACGATAAGCTCAATATTACGGTAATAGGAATGATACGAAATATCTGAGTTTTCTCGAAAATCAAGGTGTTTCTTCTGCGAGTGACACCCACTTTAGCAGAAATGGCTCGCCTATTCTTTCGTGGACGAAATTCACTCGCTGATACCTCACCTGGAGCATAACAGTCAAAAAAGCAACACCTTTGATAACAATATCAAAATCACTGCGAAATTTCAGTGGATCAATTACTCGAGAAGTTAGGATTCGAAGCTTATAGAGGCACTTGGTATCCTTACTCAGACCCCTTTCTAGTGTTTTCTAATTCTAGATGGGACATTGACTAACTAACAAAACGTATTGCGTGCGAAAAGCACAGGTCACTTCATAACCTGGTACGAAGTAGCGCTGAAGCACATGGCGCGGTTTTGCACTTATACGGTTCATTGGATCGACCTCGATCGAGGCCGAATGAACCTTCAATGCCTTCAATTTCAACTGGTTAATGCTGAGTTTATTTGAGAGTTTGCCTGGTAGGACGCATCAAACGATCTTAGGTAGTTTGCGAAGTCTATATGGGAGGTGTGAACCTTTTTCTTTCACATACGTGAAGAAAAGTCACATACATGGCGCATCCAAAAGGGACTGGCCAAAAAAGCGTGGTTCATTCTCTTGAGCAACAGTTTTTGGACGTCCAATAGGTGTTTTTGAGACAGGCAAGAAGGAATCAGGCATCCCGGATGTCAATCGAGGCTTCCGCTTAGTATTCTCAGATTTCTTCCTCGTATTATTGCCACAACTGGTCAAACCCTCACACTTGCTGTGTCCACCACAAGTTGCTTCCTATTGCGTGCGTTTCGGAATCGTGACTAGTAACTGTTGGGAGACCGGCCGACGTTGTTTGAATTCCCCAAAAACGTTCCCGTGCGTGCATTGGCACGTTCCGCATTCCAACCCGAATTCTTTAATGGACAGATTGTGCTGTCATTGATAGGTGGCATGACCCGTAGTGATAACTGTGACCACGACAGAAGTTCCTTTCGAACACAGAAAACCAGTTCAGCTTACCTACCCAATCAACATCTACCCATGAGGCTGAAATCTGCTTTCGACCAGCGCTCTACGATAACAACCGCAGTGTCCCGTACAAATAAACTGTGTTGCTGTTCTACTGCGTTTCTTGAAGAGATGAAAAACATCGGAGAAATCCATGCGTCTTTTCTTTCGTCCTCTTGATCAACCGTTAGGGTGAGCCATGCTGTTTGAGAAATCCCCAAAAAATCAGGCTTTCTGCTCGGTATTTTGCCTTGAAGGCAATGCAGTTCTACTGCAAAAATTGCCCTAGCCCCAAATTCAGCAATAAAGGAATTCATATTCTGGATGTTTTCTCCCGCGACTCACTTTTCTGTGCTTTTTTTGAGTATTCATATCATTTAAGGGACTATCAAAGAAAACAAGCAATATCAGACTTGCAATTCTAAGGGCAGAGATGGTATAGCGACAAGTGGCGTTAGTTACCACGCGCACAGTCCAGGGATCAAAACCTGGGTCCTACGCCGCCAATTCAACCAAAGCTTCTATCGCTAAGGGCGGTAATTGGTGCCCGAATTGCCTGGGCGAATCAAAACATTGAGCTCTACTTTAATTTAATTGACCCTCGTAAGTCATTGAAGAGGCCAAAATGCGTTTAAAATGTCACAGCGACTCTAGGCGGAAATATAGTGCGTGGCGCATCTCAAGCAAGGATCGATCGCCGTACGCATTAATGTTTCCATGGAATTGTGATCCGATTCAGAATGCGAGGCGTATCCCAGGGATAGCAGCTGAACAAAACTTGAAAGTGAAGCATTCAGGAATTCTTCACGAGATAAGTCACTCATTCCGTTTTCCTGATGACATCCAAGATTTGTTCTGTTCATGTTTTCGCTAACTGTAGGGCTCTATCCAAGACTTGGAGGAGATCAGATGATGTACAAGTTAATGTTTTGACTTTTCCTAATAGGTACGGTAACATAAGACGACCCCTACCATTACAGAAAATTTTTTTGACCTGGGCGAGATTTTATTAGCGACTTGATCCCCAGAACGTGGGCGTGATAAAAAGCGCCTTTACCCAGTAAAGGCTGGGTAATTTCTGCTACATGTGCTGGACCGCTATTGTTAGGATGTTTTTCATTATTCTATCTTGAAATATTACAAATGCATTACAAAAGATTACATATTACAAAAGATCAAGTACATGGTGCCAGCGGAGAGGTTTGGGATGAGCCGTGCACACGAACACCTTCAGGATCCCACAATTGTTTATATGTGAAGAATTTAGCGATTCGCGGGGCTTTCGACTCCAACTCATGCTCAATGGCTTTGTGTTTAGAAAACAGGGCGGTAACTTCAGCGCTGAAGAATGTTTCTGGGAGTATGCAGTCCTATAGAAAATGCAAGCCCATTTTTGAGACACTGTGCCATCGATGAAACACTTCATTTCAACAACTTCTCAACAAATAGGAAGGAAAATATGTATATGGCTCTTTTTGAACTTTTAATGGATTCATATTTAATGAGGACAACCTGACCTCGGTGGAGCCGCCCTCGATAGCGCTAATCCCGTGTGTCGCACTTTTTACGTTACTCTATTTACTTTAAGGGTTTGCGTCAATCCGCGTAAGAAAGGTCGCGATAGGTTTTTCAGAGAGACGGAATTTGACCCAAATATGAACGTCCTTTCCGCAATCATTAACTATTGCACCCATGGACAGATATATATCATCGCCTCGATGGCCAAAGCTATTGATATGTGATAGGGATAGGAATGTACGGCATGATACTCACTGCACGAGCGGCGGCGGAAGAGCTGACCCATTTCACCGTGGGTATGAGGCGAACGGGGTGATAACAATATTGCTAAGGTGAATTAGGTGGCTCCCAGCAGGTGATCAGTGCAGGAGTCATTTCTGGGGCAAAGTGATTGGTTGCAGGCGGAAACCGTTTGAAACCGTCATCGCTTCCTTTGACGTGAAGTGGAAACTTAGCCGTAAATTATTCAGCTGGGTTATACACTGCGTCCCATAATTATACGTCCACCTAAGAATTTCCCAAAATCTCAGAAATACAGATGTTACGAAAAAAGTCTCCTATGTGACAATGTATCGCATATAAATACGCAATTGCCTATGAACATCAATTTTCTATTTGAGATCACAGGAATTTTTCCCAATAATTTTTGTGTAAAAGGCCACTCAGCCGACGTCCCAAAATTATACGTCCACCTCACGTTTATCGATTACTTTTCACTTCTGTTCCACGAAACTTTTTCATTGTGGTAACACTTCACTTCTTAAGAGAACAGCATAATAAAGACTGCTGTTGGATTTTGAGAAAGGGAAAATGTCGCAAAAACTGTTGAACAACGGAACCGCACCAGATTTGGTCCAGATTCACGCCAAGCTTGAGAATTTTTTCAGGGGTTTCACATGATATGGAGCTTAGAAGAGCTCTAAAAGTCTCTCATTACTTTTCGATGGAAACAAAGGCGTGTTACAGAAATAACATCCATTTTCATCCAACGGTGCTCTGTCATCGAATCTTCTTGAGAACTTTATGCCTCAACAGACTTTTGTTTCATGCATGTAAAGGAATCCCAAGATCGTTCTTGATCGGAAAATGTGAAAGACGTTCATTTGTGGCAAGGAATCGTGACGAAAACTGGGCTGATTTTTGCATGAAGGTGCAGCCGAGCCGACTGGAGCAGGGTTTTTTTCCTTGCTATGCATGAGTGTTTGTCCGTCTTTCTTTTCAACATTTTCTTTCTTTTAGTAGTGCTCCTCTAAGAAAAAAGCCATTAAGGGAAAGGTAGACGTGAGAAGAAACAAACAAATGCCAAAACATATCGGGCAGAAGCGAACCTTACTTCAGTCGGCTGGGCTGCACCTTCATGCAAAAATCAGCCCAGTTTTCGCCACGATTCCTTGCCACAAATGAACGTCTTTCACATTTTCCGATCAAGAACGATCTTGGGATTCCTTTACATGCATGAAACAAAAGTCTGTTGAGGCATAAAGTTCTCAAGAAGATTCGATGACAGAGCACCGTTGGATGAAAATGGATGTTATTTCTGTAACACCGCCTTTGTTTCCATCGAAAAGTAATGAGAGACTTTTAGAGCTCTTCTAAGCTCCATATCATGTGAAACCCCTGAAAAAATTCTCAAGCTTGGCGTGAATCTGGACCAAATCTGGTGCGGTTCCGTTGTTCATCAGTTTTTGCGACATTTTCCCTTTCTCAAAATCCAACAGCAGTCTTTATTATGCTGTTCTCTTAAGAAGTGAAGTGTTACCACAATGAAAAAGTTTCGTGGAACAGAAGTGAAAAGTAATCGATAAACGTGAGGTGGACGTATAATTTTGGGACGTCGGCTGAGTGGCCTTTTACACAAAAATTATTGGGAAAAAATTCCTGTGATCTCAAATAGAAAATTGATGTTCATAGGCAATTGCGTATTTATATGCGATACATTGTCACATAGGAGACTTTTTTCGTAACATCTGTATTTCTGAGATTTTGGGAAATTCTTAGGTGGACGTATAATTATGGGACGCAGTGTATTTGGGGTGTGCACAACGAATCTAGTTAGCCGCTTTTGGGCAGTGAGTATCATTTTACTAAAGGCATCAATGAATACTTTCTGTGTGATCGCCTTTTGAGAAGAAGTTCGGGTGCGATGGTTTATGAAACGGAAATTTTACAGTAACCGGAAGTTACTCTTTTCTTAGGAAAGTATGGTGAGATCTACATACCGAAAATTAAAGAGTTCATTTAAAAGCGTGAAGTCTAAATGTAAGTTATGAGTGCTTAACTCCTACGATTACGTTATGATGTTCGCAAACAATACATTAACTTTCATTGTTGGGGCGCTTTAGCAAAAGACGGAGCATTAGTGGTGGCAAGGCATTTGGGACGCCAGTGAAAGAAAATTCCCCTGTTTGTGGAGTGGGGGCTGCCTCATGCGGGAAGAGAAGCTCAACAGGGGCAGAGTGCGCAGGACTTTGCAATTTTCTTTCCAGGTGGTGTGTGGTTCCTAGCCTGCTCCTAGGCTAGCCTCGAGATGCCCCGCATATTGGTGCTATAGCGGCCCTTTGATGCTTAGATAGATCTTGAACCATAGGGGTTTAAAATGAAGTGTATGTGTATATTGTGATGGTAGGGTGGGCTATTTTCAGGAGCTTCAAAAACAGCACTTCGTCCGAGGGGGCGGCGCCGCCATTAGAGCACTAGCGTTAGGATCAACAAGACCTTCCGGCGCCCGGGCTTTTCACCTTAAGCAGTTTCTTCTAATGACAGGGCAAAAGCATTTTGAAGTACGGTTGCTCTATCCGAGAATTGTAGTTCGTATTTCTGGGCGCCGCCTGGGTGTGGGAATACGATACAGGGCGGAATAGTGACGGAAGCCAGGCAACAACCTCCACCTTCTCGTAGAAAAGGAGACTGAGCTAGAGCGGAGAAGGCGTAAGACTTCAGAGTTGCCGTGAGAATTTCATTTCCCATTGGGTCCTGGCCTTCGCTTACGTAAGCTTTTGTCCTTAAAGCCGCCTACATCTTGCTATTAGCCCTGTGAAGTTAATTGATGCATAGTTTTGAATTCATGGTAACATTCAGAAGTTATCTTCAAGTTTCCTAAGAAGCCCCAAATACATGGGCTTATAGTTACCCAGAACGAACTTGCCAATGCTTTAGTTTTCTCTGCTCTCTATATAAAAGTCAGCATTAGTTCGTGCCGACTTCTGCAAGGACCCATAAGCTTTTGTTAGTGCTCCTGATAGGAATCGATTGGGGTACCTACTAGAGACTTTCACTTACTGATTACCCTTTATCATATTTGAGCGGAGATTTTTACTTTTTCTACAAGAAAAGAATGACCACTCGACCGAGTAACGTGATTAAGTTGAGGCATCCTTCACCTAAGAAATTGTAAAAGTGGGCTAAAAGGATTTTAGGAGTTGGACCTTAACTTGAATGTTCTCCCTTTCATCCTCACTACTAAACCATGTGAAAGTCTTCAGAAGTGTAGGCTGTAGTATAGTGAAGGTTTTCATGGAATTCTTCACTTGAGACATTTGTGGATGAATTTGGATCAATGGTAAGCCAATTTTAGCATATTTCGGCTGGAGGTCCCCATCTCATCGTGTTGTACCAACCGGTTGCATATCCCAGTGTCAATCGTCAAGTAGTAATTTACGGATGGATCGGGCCGGGCCGAGTCCTAGGCGCCGCACCTTCGAACGGCCCCCCGTCTGATCCTTATCTGGTGGCCAATCTGCGGGGTTATCTCGGAACGAAAACGCCTCCGACGTCAAACTCAACAATGTGTCATGATGTAAGAATCCCGATGTTGAGGTCAGAGTAGTGACCTTATCCCCCAAGTTCGCGAGGATTACTTACGAGAAATGAATCGCCATGAATCGTCCTATCGTCTGGGAAAGCCCGCCATCGCCGCGATTTGCGTGGGATCTGCGCGTCGCACCCAGTTCGAAAGGTAATGAATCTTTCCCGTTTGCACTACGACGGGCACGGGGGTGATGACCTCGAGTTATCAGAAATGAACTATCACAGTTGACGTATTGAAAGGTCGTTCCACTTGATCGGGTCGGTGAAGCGGCGGCGCATACACACTTGAGAAGTCAGTTAGTGCCACATTTTACCACACCCCACATGTCCTCCATCACCACAGCTCAACGAGGGGAGTCAACGCAAAACGCGATACAATCGAAAAAGTCCTCCAAACCTAGCGTCGATATCGCGCGCTCAGAACCTGGCTGGTCTGTCACAAAATACGATGACAATCTGGTCTGCTTGCCCAAATGGAGCAATTTCACCCGGATGAACGATGGTGGGAGCAAAATAGCGATAGTGTGTAGTGGTAATAGTGGTGAGCAATTGAGCTGAAAATTACCCGCATTAGCTAGAAAACGACTGTAAAGGTACAGAGGGTAAATTGGACCGTAATCATCTTAGATATCAATACATTTCGGATGCGCCATGCATTCAACTTCCATTCAAAGTCGTTGAGGAAGTCATTTTTCATCGGATGAACTGTTACCTACAAAGGGTGATCGAAATTGTAATGGGTGGTAGCAACGCTAAGCAGCGGTGGCTATAAGCTGCTTGGATAACCTGATGCGCCACGCATCCAATATCCTTCCAAAATAATGTATTCATTTGAGTTTGTCCCCTGTAGAACAATTTTACTCGGGATGGCGACGACAGCCAAAATAACAAAAACGGTTCCTGAACTTGAGGGTAAGTTCTATACGATTGTAGGCATCGACTAAACTGGCGTACATGAAAAATATTGGGCCTTTGAGGCGCGCCGTGCATTCGAATTCCACTCAGAATGAGAGGCTCAAATTTCGCATCATCCCCTAAGATTTGTCGGGGCAGCCGACATTCAAGTTGGCATTCCCTTAACAAACTCTTGCGGCTCTTATGTCGTCCATGGGAGACATTAAAGTGAGTGAGCTTCTTACAATGCTTGGGAATAAGGCTTAAGGTGAGGAAGATGCCCTAGAGGTGAACGTGAGCAATTTTGTCTTATTCTTCTTCTGGCCCTTTCCTATACCAAGTCCTACCAGCGTTTTTGGACAGGTGAGGAAAATGGGTTATGCTTTTCTTTGGATGATTTAATAGCACCCTGAATGCGTCTATTTCCTCAACTTCTTATCCCCCCGGAGAGCACCGTTATCAACCAAATGATCTCGGAGGAGGTGTAGATGGTGGGTGTGTTTAGGGAAGGATCCGGTCTGTAAGCACCGCTCTCTTCCTCAACCTCTTGAAAAAGCCAGGCAGTCTTTCTCTAAGAGATACGTGTTCTTCAAAACAAGTGACTCTTCCTTTGAAAGAACATTTTTATGGAATTTGAGCGTTGTCAAATGGGCTGTGAATTTTATAACGACTAATATTGGCCTTGAAGTGATGATGTAATCCGGTTTCAAATGAAGTGTTTTCCTTTTGAAATGGGTAACAACTCAAACCCAACTGAGTCACAACGAACACACCCTTCCCGAGAACAGGTTCAATTTATTGGGTGACTGAGAGAGATCAGGGGTTCAATACCGTTTTCGAAACCAAAGCGCACGAGTGAGTCAGGTACTAAAGTCATCTGATATGGGTTTCAAAACCTGTTGTGATTAGGAGTCAAAGGCATTGACCACGGGAAACAGATTTCTTCCTTCTTGGACCAAGTGCATAGTTGGTGGTCATAGAAGACCGTATGCAGAGTTTTGGACAAAGGAAAGAGATTCTGATAAGAAACAGCCGTCGGAAAAAGTAACCCTTTGCTGTGTTGAAATGACCACACCCATAGCCTAGAGAACATGGTTGGAATCACCCTGGGGCCGGGGCCGGTATGGTCATGGGGAGATCTAACGTGAAGCTCGTTCAAGTACACGTGCTTAACACGTTTACACTTGTAAGTTCCCCGCCGGCAATACTTGTGATAGTTTTACGGTGAGAATCTAAATTACTTGCAATATGCAAATGTTCGAATCTATTTTCATCGAAATTTTCGTTCTTTTTGTTAATTTTGTGAAGCATTCGGGCTCAGGGCACCAATTCTAGGCATGAGTGGGACCCCATGATTGTCGTGAACGGTGTCTTTAAGTTCAATCAGCCGAGGAATAGTTTGAGCGGTAAGCTTGCGCTTCCCCTTCGTTCATAACGCTTTTGATGAAGACGCTGTGTTCCTCGGGCTGCCTCTTGACTTCCGTTTGAAAGACGGCTGCCAAACAAAGGAGAAGCAATGACAAAGCCATCAAAAGGTGCGATACCTTTTTGGCGTGAAGACATGACGCACAGGTGGCGATGCACATTGGAATTGTGAACAAAAGCGTTGCCAAAGCAGCGGCAAACACACAGAACAAACCGACGGTCGTCCAAACGCGTGGTCGGACCTGAA